GGCTGGCACCTTAGCCACTTGAGCCACAGGCACCAAGCCTACATATTTTCTTTCCTTTTTTAAAGCAATAGTAAATGGTGTTATATTTCTAATTTCAATGTTCACATGATCATTATTAGTATATGGAAATTTATTTTTATGGTCAGATGCAGTGCTTATGCCTATAATCCTAGCACTCTGAGAGGCTAAAGTGGGAGGATCCTTTGAGCTCAGGAGTTCAAAACTCACCTGAGCAAGAGCAAGACCCTGTCTCTAAAAACAGTGGAGCGTTGTAGCAGTCACCTATAATCCCACTTACTCGAGAGGTTGAGGCAAGGAGATTGCATGAGTCTAAGAGTTTGAGGTTGCTGTGAGCTATGACACTGTGGCACTCTATCTAGTGTGAAAGACTGAGACTGTCTCAAGAAAAAAAATAAAAAGGAAATAAATTTAAACTTGGGCATTTGGGGTATTATGTTACAAGACTTTGGATCTTATTTAAACTTTCTGTTTTAGCTGGTTTCTCCTGACAATACTCTGTTAGAAGAAGCAGGGACTCTTCATTATTTCCAAGTGTAGCTAGAATTCTAGGTTCCACTCTTGGCACTCATGGCACCAGACTGGGAGAGGTTCCTCACTATCACAAGGCAGGTTGGGATTCTGGATCCACTGGCCTGCACTTGAGCCTCCCTGGCTAGAAGGGATAGGAATCCCACCCACACAGCTTCCTCAGGCACCATCTGGCAGAGAGGGGAGGGCCATGGGCACTGACCAAGGGTGTAAAAGTCCAGCTCCCACAGGGTCTTTACTCACACCTTGGGACGGGGCCTCCATACCAGCCAGTAGGGATGGAATTCCTTCCTATTGGCCTTGTCTGGTGTCACCACCTGGAGTGCTGAGTGCCTCATCACAGCCTGGGGAGAGCAGAAGCCCAGGTTCCCAAGGCCCTTGCTGGCATGGGCCTATAGTGTTTTCTGTGGTGGTTGGTTATTTTCTAAAAAAAAATTTTTTTTTTTGAGACAGAGCCTCAAGCTGTCCCCCGGGTAGAGTGCTGTGACATCACAACTCACAGCAACCTCCAACTCCTGGGCTCAAGCGAGTCTCCTGCCTCCACCTCCC